TTTAATAGCCACACAAACTTGGAAAGAAAGCAGACTAAAGTAGTACTGAAACATATCACTCCGGTATTTTGTGGAATTACGTCCTCCACTGCAGTGTAATCCTTATTGACCAAGGTGTTACACAGTAGCATGCTTTCTTGTACCTCACACAAATTACACCTCTGTATTCTGATAATTTCTATGTTCCAAATTTGATTTCTTTCTTCTTAAAAAGAGAAATAAAAGTCAACTGCTCTCTCATAATCCATGTGACAGTTCCAGATTGCCAAGATTCCCAATTTTACTGGAAACAATATCCCATAATTAGAGATGAAAGTGTGACTCTGAGAGACAGTAACAGAACAAGGGCTTGAATTATAGCAGAACTGATTGGTGTTTTCATCTCTGAAGGAAAACTCAGGAAGATTCAAGAAAAGAGAAAAAGGAAACTTCAAACTATCCTGTGAAATTAAAAAGCCAGCCCTGTCCAGCAAAACTTAGATACCATACACGGCAGCATTCACTTTTTCAACCCTTGTAGATCTTTGTAGCCATTCAGCATTATTTTCTCAGTAATCTGAACGATAGCCTGGATATGATAGTAAAGGCAGAATCCGCCTCCCTGCCCTACTGGACCCACAGCAATCCTAGTCCAGGAGTCAGAAAGGTGCTGACAGTGCTCTAAGCCAGCAGCACGAACTACCAACCATTCTGATGGCCAGATACATCACCAAAGCCTGCATCTCACAGAGCCAAACCAAGGTAGGGGCATACGAGCACACAAGATAACCCGTTCAGGCCAGCTGATGTACTGTCTTCTAGTAACACTGGCTAACACAAAAACACAAGCATGCAGATCACTGATAAGAGAACATATTCCCTGTACAGGGCTGTTTGTACAAATGAGGATGAACGGACATATGAGAGAATAATCTAGCAGAATTACAGAACCAGCACTGTAAATCACAGAACAAGGAGCAATTAAACTAGTTTTATCTAACTTTAAGACTGATATCTAGCCACTTTATCTCTGTTGCCACTAGTATCATAGTATTTATTTGCCTTTTGACAACAGGTGTGTGTACATACACACACAAAACCTTGTACAGTAGAGACATCTATGAGACAGCACAACACAGGACTAGATGGGACTCACACACAGATCCCTAACTGAGATAACAATGGGACCAGCTCAGTGCTCCTCATCCCCATGTGGCAACTCCAATAGGGAAAGGAAGCAAGCCCTCTTCCTGCCAGAGCCCAGAATGGTCCCAGGACCCGATGCTTTTGCTTCAAGGATGATCAGACTACAGCACTTGAGTGCTAGAAGCCCACTAGGTCTGCCCTATTTCCAAGGGCCAAGAGCCTCCTGTATTTCATTGACATGATTTTTTTCCACCCAACTTGTTCTTCAAACACAATGAACTATAAACAATGAACAGAGGAGTTTCCTGAGACTTCAGGTACACCTTTCTAGAAGTTTTATACTTACACTGGGAGCTTTTCCTTCTCCTGCAGCTTATACCAATTAGCTTTTGAACAAAAAAGTAGCTACCCAAGGAAACAATGGAATTGCTTATATAGTGCACTACATGAGCAAGGAAATGAGGTTTTTACTAGTATGAATACCAAAATATTGTATCCTAGTTATGTTCAAATTTTTACATAAAAAATAATTATTATGAGGTGCCCCTTGAAGACATTTGTGAACCCTCTATTACCCACAGCAAAAGTTTTTCCATTACTGGTCCTAAATCCTGAAACAATGTTAATTATAATTATTTATCTTACATATCCAGTGCTAATGCTGCTTCTGGAAATGGCCCTATTGCCTTGTCCGTACTCTTGGTTCCTTCCACTTCTCATCTACAAGGCAGAGTCACTTCTTGACTACATCCTGCTCCATTCTGCCTCCTCCTTTTTTGCCTTTCATACGGATAAATATCCATCCATCTACTAAAACTAATAAAACCAGCACAGACTATGATCCTTAATGTCCTCCCATTTTGCCTTACACTGAGAAATAGGCATACATTTTCAAGATATTACAAAATGCTATGAAGAGATAACAAAAACAGCATGTACTATAACCTACTTAATTCCAATTTTTGAGAAAGACAGCTGGCAAGAGACAACTACTGACTAGTCCCAAAAGAGCAGGCACACAGAAACCTCTGGCAACACATGTGCTTATGGTAGTAGCTGAGTAATCCTGAAGTTTAAAAAAGAGAAACCTGAATTCTGTGGTACTCTGGGTCAAAAGCGAAATTCCACAGACACCTGGGATCCCTGGAGAAATTACCTGGAATATTCACACCTCTCAAAAATCAGCATTTCAGATTCTAAAGAATTTTTTTTTCACAAGAGTTAGACTATTAAAAAAAAGCAAAACCACACAGCAAAAAAACTTTCATTACAAATTCCAGTTTTCCAACTCACTAAACCTGACTCAAATGCAATTTCCACTCCCAGATTTGGGTTGCAATCAGTCCCAGCACAAAAATACCCAACTAGATTAAGTACTATAATCAATATAATGGGAACAATCAGGTTAGAGTTTTCTCCAACACTAAAATCATAGTGACTTTTTCCATTAGCACTGCTTTTTCTTTCTACAGCAATGCCAGCTAATCCATCAGTGTTCAGTAAGAGCTACACTAAGTACAGTTGGCCATTCCTGATCCTAGCTCCCCCTTTTGGTAAGCTAAATATTGTATCAGGATTTTTCAGTTCACATTTGGTCCTACCTTCACAAGATAAAAAAAATAGCAGACAAATAGTTTTTAGGCAATGAGGCTCAACATTAACTTGTCTTTGACAGCTGCTTAGCTCTTACAGTACCCCCGACTCATCAAGGTACTTTTAGGCACTGAAAGGAAGGACATCTCTTTATCTACTGTTCTGCTGTTTACAGGAGACAGTTTGGGTTTTTTTTTTTTAAATTTGCAGTCCTCCTTCACATGAACAGAAGTTGTCTAGCTGATGTAGCTATCTCATGGTATTTCCCCCAACTTAAACCAACTTGAGTTTAAAAAAAAAGGCAAAAAATAGTGTCTTCTGCATTACCCAAACCAGAGTACATCTGATAGAGCAAAACAAACTGCAGCTGCTTGGTTTTTTTTTTGGATTGTTGTTTTTGTTTTTTGTGGGTTTTTTTCCAGATCACTTAAAAAACAGTGCAGGAGGTACTGGCTCCATCCAGGACTCTTTCTGCTCTTCTAAGCAGGATGCAAAAGATCTAGGCTTTAAAGCCAGTTCCCATTTCCCCACACACTCTTTTCTTCAATTGGGCAAACTTTCAAAAACATGGGTGGAGTACACCCACAATCTCGCCTCACTCAAACACCAGTGGTGCAATTACTCTTCTGGAAGGTAAGAGATAATTTCAATCTTTCTCTTGTTGATTATTTTGACTACTGCACTAGTACTTAAAGACCTTTTTTTTTAAGTACATGATGACAGTTTTGAGAGGTTGTTACTACAGAACCAGAAAAAGCAATTACACCTCTGCATCATGAACAGAGTATCAGCCACCCATTTGCTTCTGCATTTCTGACTGGCCAGGGACTCCCAGGTCAGTAATGCAAATTTCACAGCACCGTCTCTGAACCTCTTTCTTCTCCTGTGCAGACTAAGAAGCCCAGGCACTTAATTCTCGATATGCATTTGCCAGCTGCAAAGCAGACACTGCCATACCTGTTGCATAGATGTAGCTTCCTGTCTTTATAGCTCAAGGACACCGTATAACACCATAAACAGTTCAAACTCTGGAGAACACATCACTTAACTCTCCACCACAGCTTTCCTACTTGAATAAAAACACCTGCCTTGGTTTTCTACTTCAGACAAAAACACTGTTATTAAGCTGGGGGAGGAAAATTAGCCTCTTTGTTTCCTACATCTCGACTTCAGGCCCACTTATCCCAGTATTAAGGAAGACATAGATTTCAAAACTCTCTTAAAGATCTGTATCACCTAGTATGTATTGAGAAAGTTTCCTAGAAGGCTTCCACCTCTGCAAGGCTACATAGCTGGAACACCTTTTTTTTGTTTGTTTGTTTGTTTGCTCTTTTGATATTTCAATTTAATAGTTTAAATGAAGCTACCTTTTAAAAAAGCCAACTTTATTTTTTTTTACTATTATAAATTATTATATGCTATTAACTTGTTATTATTGAGAAAGCCAAAAACTGCGTGTCCTCAGCTTGCAAAGTCAAAGAACAAGACACATTCCAAAGAAAACTTACATAAAATAAAATAGAATTTATGCTCACCTTTGAACTAATTGATACTTATGTTTCTAGAGTGATTTAGATCAGTAATGGCAGAATGGATATTTGATTGTGATAGTACTGTTAAGGTCTTTAAAGTCGAGTAAACACCATTAATTTTATTCATGAGTTTTGTGATATTGGTTAGGGCAGTAAATCTGCACATTGACGTGCTCTGTTTAGCAACTGTTAAGACAATTCTTAAGATATTTTAAGTGCTACTCTAACCCACTATTAATTAAGCATTTAGACTAACCATTAGGCTCACGAAGGCAGTGGAATAAAGATTTCCTGGACCGGGAGCTTGCATTATTCCCCATAATGCACGATGACAGACGCCTAAAGACACAGCTGCGGAAGAAGCCAGAGTACACCTGCTTCTATCCCTGCAGCTTTTCCCCCAACATCCCCGAATTTGCTGCCCCCGGCGCTGCCTCGGGGGCACGGCTGCGAGCGTGAACCCACGCCAGGAGACGAGAGGAGCTTCTCTTCCCCCCGATGAAAGGAGTGTTTCCGAGAGACTCAGCCCAGCCCCACGTGCTTGCGGCGGGGCACGGGCAGGCTCCGCCCGGCCCTCACGCCCCTACCGAGGGGTCTCGCTGCCCGCGGCCGGCCCCGAGAGGCTTGGACACCGACCCCGGCAGCGAGAGCGCCGGCCGGGACACCTCCTGCGCCCGGGCTGGGGACGGAGAAGGCCCGAGGCGGAACAGGCTATAAGCGACGCCGACCCCTCCACCGGCCGCCCCTCACCTGTTTTGAAGGCCATCTGCTTGTCCTCGCTGCCGCCGAAGAGCTCGAGCATGGAGACGAAGAGGACCCCGCACGAGTTCTGGATGCCGAAGACGGCGCCGTTGCACCACATGGCGGCCAGCATCACCACCCAGCCCCAGCCGCCCTCGGGGGGCTCCGGCGCCGCCGCGCTCCCGGGGCAGCCCGCGCCCCCGGGGGCCTCCGCCGCCGCCCGGGCTTGGGCCCCGCTCTCGCTGCTCCCAGGGCACCACTCGCCGCCGTTCTCCTGCCGCGGCTCCTCGGCAGCCGACGGGCCGCGCAGGGGGGGCGCGGCAGCGGGCTCCCCCTCTGCACCCTGCGGCTCCAGCTGCTCGCTCACCGGCGCCATCCTCGGAGCGGGCGAGAGACCCTCAGGCGCGCTGCTCCCGCCTTCCTCCTTCTCCTCCTCGCGACCTTTCGTCCCCCGCCCGCCTCAGCTTCTGGCTGCGGCTGCGGGCATCCTGCGGCGCCCCGGCTGTGTCCGTGCCCCCCGTCGATGTGCGGGAGCTAACGAGGCCGCCTCGCACAACACACCCCCCTCTTCCCGCCGCGCCGCCGCCGCTTTATTTTAAAAGGGGGGCTCCCTCGGGGGCGTCAGCGGCATGAGCGCTTCCCTCCGCGCCGATTGGCCGCGGGACGGGAGGCGGGAGAGGCGGGACGGGAGGGGGGCAAGGGGAAGGGAGGCGAAGCCACGCTCGTCTCCAACCCCCCTTCCCCGCCCGCCCTCCAGCTCTGCCTCTCCGGCGGAGGGGGTGGAGCGGGGCGGGAACGCGCCGTGTCAGCGGCGGCGGCAGCGATAAGCGCTCCAGCCGCGGCCGCTCGGGAAGGGGGAGCGGGGAATCGGGGAAGAGGGGGGCGAGGCTGGAAGTCAGCGGTTAACGGCAGCCACCGGAGCTGGGCGGGAGGAGGGAGGCAGGAGGTGGGCGAGTGAGCGCCCCGAGCCCGCACACAGGTACCGCGCACTGCCCTCGGCGGGCGGGGCGGTAAACAAACCCCTGGCCCCGCTCCCGGGCCGAGCCCGCTCCCCACGAGGCAGCGCAGCTGCACCCAGCGCTGTCCCGCTGCGGCCGACCGAGCTGAGGGGGGAAAAGTCTGAAACTCCCGCCCCGGCTCTTTGCAAACAACAAACAAGTAAAGAGAAACCGCCCCAAAATACGCACACCCCGCCACACACGCAGACAAACACACACACACACGCATGCATGCGGTGACAGCCGGCGCTCGGCCCTGCCCGGCCCCCTCGGGCCTCCAGGGAGCTCCACTGGCCACCCTCCTTCCTGAGAGGAAGGCTGCCAACCCTGGCAGGCGGCTCGGGGCCCTCGGGGCATCCGCTGTCCTCCGGGACAGCTGTTCACCTCTCCTTGGGCCACCCTGTGCCAGAGGGGACCATGAGGGAACTGCATCTCCCCGGCTGTCCTCTCTGTGTAAAAACAGAGAAAATACTCTCTGTATGCAAAAGAGGAGAAAATACTGCTCTTGCACGCCTCGTAGCATGTTTCCCACTTGCACGGAGGCATCAACTCCTGACCTTTCCTCCCCACAGCCAGCGAAGTAAGAGGATAGGGAAAGGAGAGGTCAGGAGTGTTAAATGACAAGCTTTTTGACCCATGATCCTGCTTCCAAGCTCTGAGCTGCACATCTGTTCCGGCGTTTGGCAGCTACTTATGTTTTAAGCAGTTTGGGCTTGATGGGGAAGAGCAGCTTCTTGAAAGAAAATCAGCAGATGATATCTGGATGCTTCGTCCTTCCCTGTGAAACCTGGAATGCTCAAAGCAGCCTCTTGCGCTTGTACACCATCTGGATTTTTTTCTCTTAGAGCCTGGGCTGTTACTGCTATATCATCTGCGCCATCCAACTCCTTTGACTACCTGTTAAAGCCTCTTCCTCCTGTTTTTTTTTGACCCTGAATAACCTTCTCCATCCTACACCTACCAGTGGCAACACGAGTAAACAAAACTTAGTCCAAAATAAAGCACAGATCCATAAGACCATGTCTTCTTATTCTGCGCACATTACCCAGTCACTCTCCATGTGAAAAGAAGCAGCTAAAGAAACAAAACCACGTAACAATGTAATGAAAGCCTGTGTAATGTACATTGAGCAGGTGGTTAGCTTTTAGCACTAATCGACCTTTGGATTTTTAATTTTGCATGATTAGTGTGCTCGCATTTGTTTTAAAATAAGTTATTTTTAAAAAGTTTACAAATACATTTATGATTACAGTGAAGTGCATTTTATAAATGCACTAATCTTGCTGCATACTCCATTTGTCTTGTTGCCCATGTGCATCTGAATTAAACATAAAAACATTACATGTACACATACGAGAGCAGTAGAATACGGAAAACATAAAAGCTCATAACAAAACACAATCTAGCTGTATGAAATAAGTAATAATTGTCAAAGCAAAGAGAGAACACTTGGCCGACCATTGAAAAACACATCTGTTCCCCCCCAAGGAACAAGTTTTGATGCTTATGAAAACTCCCAAGCTTATCATAAGCTTAACTATGCTCAATCTATTTCATAAGCAATTTAACATGCAGAAGTTAACACTTCACGTTCTCTAGTAAGTCTTTGTACAGAGGCCATTTTCCAAATCTGTAGAGCTTTCTTACAATAATTTTCCCCACCCCACTATAATATGTTTTGAACAGTTGTGACAGAGAAAACCTTTTTTTGAATCAGTCTTCATTATGTTTGCCAGCAATGATTAACTTAATTAAACTTTCAGTTGCATAAGAATAGACAAAGGCAAAATCCAAGATTGGATCTTAGATACAACTGATACAAAGGAGCACAGTTCTCAAAGTGTAACATTTTATGTTATGTTCCTAACTTTTAGTTGGACTCCTCAGATTACTTCACCTACCTTCCTGAATGGGGGCTGCAAACTGTATGATAGATAGTCAAATCCTCTGGAGGGAAGAACCAGACATTTTTCCAGTTTTGGACAGTATTCAATTAAGCACAAAAGTAATTCCTTCTCTGCATGTTTTTCAACGTAATGTTTAGGTACTGCAGTTTTGTTTCACTGTTTCTTATAAACACTGTAACAACTCCCCCATTCTTTAAGATAAAGGGTGTGTCTTTAAAAAAACTTATTGTGAACATATTGTGTAGAGCTTTCACTTCTGTGCATTTTTTTAAATAGATTCTATTTTCCAGTCATTGAGTGTTTTCTATACCCTGATTAGTAAGAACTAATTATTTTCCCTTTCTCCTCACATTTGGGAATGGAGAGTCATAAAATCTGATTCTTCAGTATATAGAGGTTTTATAAATTTGATGTCTATATCTGTTCTGAATGTTCCTTCCCTATTCTGTACCTTATTTTCCTATTGCTATCTATCTAAACTTAAAAAAAAAAATTGTATTTTTTAAAAATTAGGAGCACATGGGGCCTTCCTTTATGGGCCTCAAGTAGATATCTAGGGAAACTTTGGTACACTCTGCTCCTATCAAGAGCTAAGCCTCTTCCATTTTGAGAGAGGTCTCTTGAGATCTCAGCTATTTCCCTGGTAGTTCCCCAGAACAAGAGCAATAATAGCTTGCTCTTCATAGCCAGATGATTTTCAACCATCATCTTCCATGGAAAATGTACTTTGCAAACAGAAAATGGGCAGGTTTGACTTTGGTTTGATTGCTAAAGTTTTTGTAACCCAAACCATTCACAATAAAAACATTAGTGTTTAAATTATTACTAACAAAGAATTTTAAAAATATTAGTTGAAAAAAATAATACTGAGTATGGAAAGGAAAGCCACCTTTGTGGCTCTACTATTTGAGCCCTGTATGCTCACAAGAAAAACAGTCAAAAAGGAAAAAGAAGGGAGATAAACATGAGATAATTGTCATAAAAAACAGTGAAAATAACCAGGTTAGAGTTATAAAGGATATACCTTGTATACAGGTAACAGTATCTGTTTTAGTTAAATTGTTGTTATGAGCAAGGAAAAAGAATCCCAAAACCAATGGCAAAACAGAGAGAAAAGTGGGGAAAAAATCAAGAGAGGACGGATAAGCTGAGAAATGTGATGTAAGAAAAACCTTGGGTTTGTCTAATATGTGTTCCTGTTTATAGTAATGTACTTATTTTACATGTTTTATTAATACCCTACAGCTCATTACACACAGCAATTGTGCATGCAAAAAACATAATGCTTTGAGACAAACATATGCTATGGTGATACTTAGGTCGTGCCTCTTTTAGGATCAACACATAAAGGCCAGTGCCAAAGGAGGAATTTGCCCTGTCACCTGTGGGCTCTCAAAAGCCCCAGAGACCAGGAAATGGCATCTTCTGCAACCCCATCTGGAACTGTAGCCAGCTTCTCACTAAACATTCACGTGCTTTCTCACAAGCTATTGAAAATAGACTACGACTTCAGTAGCTCTCATATGCAGCATTTTCTTCAACCGTAAGGAATATTTCAGTTGCCAGTGACTTCAAAAAAATTGCCTTTATTATTGAAGTATGCTGCTAGTGACATACCAAGATAGCTTTTGCATAAACCATTATATTTGTAGAGTGTTTCAAAATCATGCAGTATTCTGCAAAGGTAAAGTGGTCAGGATGCAAAGCCTGAAGAGTACATGTTCAGAGAGTTTAATTCTTCCTTATTCCATTAATCTGATTAGAATTTGTGCTGTAATCAATGAAAAGAGTATACCTACAGCATCCAGGAAAAAAAAAATCTTCAATAAAATTCCTGACTTTACCACAATTTGCTACAAAGCAGTACAGTAGATACAAATCCAAGAAATGGAGGAACATATAGAGGACATAAAGCTAACACAAAATTTTGTGACCTCAGACTAATGCATGCTCTTAATGCTGAAGCCTTTTTGTTGTATAATTTTCAGCTAGTGTTAGTAAGGCACCTATTCAGCAGAAGGATTTGGACTTAAGTCAGAAAGATGAGATAAACAGGATAACCATTAAAACACAAAAACATATGGTATCGCCAGCTCTGTGAAGATCAACATTAGATTAAATCCCATTCAGTAAGCAGTGTTTATGCATCTCTCAGCCAGACAGGATGTTCTACTGATGTTTCAGACTGGGCTCCAGCTGAGTAGTATGAAGTACAAGGGCTGCATCTGACTGCTGAGCAAATGAGTCACATTCTCAAAGATAAAACCCACAGATTTTATTTGTTTACTTCGGGGAGTGTTGGGAGCATCTAGCCTTAATTTGATAATATCTACAATAGAAGTTTCCTAAACTGCTATTAGTTGTCAAGATATCGGTTCCCTCCTAATTCGGTAATAGCTATTTTCTTATTTGTGCTTTTGAAACAGAAATACCAAGCAGAATGAGAGAGGGAAAGGAAGTAGCCTAAATGTCTAACTAGTGAAGCAAAGGAAAAGCAATACATCCAATTCCCACTTCCATATTTATTTAAAACACCAGTTCCAGACTTAACATTTTCCTTTGTTAGGTTCACCTAAAGCATGGGTTATGGCTCAGGTCTGGCTCCATTACAAATTAACTTCAAGTTTAGTTCATTATTCAATGAAGCATGGATGGGACTAGACAGACTGTTGTCTGGGACATAGTCAGTGCAGAGTTGCTAT